ACACACACACACACACACACATACACACACCCTCTCACCCTCGTTCCGAACCTTGTCCTTTTTCCCTAGGAAGTCTTCATGTTTCTCAAGTCTTAAAAGAAATAGATTCAGAGGGGATTTCTGCAGGAACGCTTAATATTTCTTAAGATACTTAGATAGTACCTGTTGCAGAGATTCCTGTATACTACCGCCACAAATAATCTATGATCTTCAATGAGAGGTTCAGCTCGGGCGCTGACAAGTTTCCTGACCCAATGTATTCTTTACACAGGAACGACTGGGTTCAAATTCCGACCCGATGCTTATCCAAAATACGTTGGAAAAAGTCGAGGGCCAGTAACACGTCAACCCAGGGGTCGCCTTTTAGTTTGAAATGAGCAATTTTGTCACAATTTAAGTAATTCGCCGGGAATGTAAGTCACACAACACCATCACGTAATGTGACGATTTTAAGGTTTTTCTTGTGACGCCACAAGCCCGTCACTGTCTGTCATTGAGGGAAACAACCTGATTCCTAGGCCCCTCTCGTTACGTCATTTCGAGCGAGGACCCTTATGACTAAAAGGCAGCAACACCAGGGAAGGGGTTATTGATGAGGCGTGAAATGAAGGAATGAAATTTTCCCTTTATTACTCGGGCTTTCCCGAAGGAAATGCCCGATTTGAAATTCCGGCTTCGTTTTTTTTTTTTTACATCGGCATACAAAGACAGAAAACTGTTAAAGTTTCTTCCCAACAGAAAGCCTGAGTGAACGCAATATGCGTCTAGTTCTATTGGAGAAATGATTGTTAACCTTTAGGCCAAACCGCTTATTACGACGCGTCCTTTAATTTTCGTCGCAACGGTTGTTTACGATATATACACACAAGCATCGATATATTTGCCCGGGTGCACACAAAGACACCTCTTTTCTATGTTAAGTTTTACGTGGAATTGCTTCAACTTACCTCGTGTGAAGTAAATTTTAGTACTGATGCATATCTAAAACCAAGTTTGAAATTACAATGTAGCTTGCAGCTAACGTCAAGAATTTCGGTATTCCGCCGCCATGGATTCTCAAAGCAGACTACGAAGAATTATAGTAAATTGAATCTACAAGCGTTCTTAAAAAAATAGCCGCAACCTGATTGGCTACGCTCCTTACCGTCTGTGTCGATAGTAAGTGGCCAAGCAGTGGACAGCTATAAAAAAAATAAATTAAAAAACACGAGCCTGCCTTGTCAAATTTTCAAGGGTCTCAGGGGGTTTAACTACCAGTCGTCAAACGGTCTGATATGCTGAAAATAGTGCTAGAAACGAACCAATGTTTGGTGGCAGGAGTGTCATGTCTGAGACCTGATTCGAAGCGGCAAGTCAAGTAGATATTTCAGTGAGTTATTTACGACAGGTACCGCTGGTCACGTGTTTTTGCAGTCACGATGGGATATTGAGTTTCCGAGAGCATATGGTCTGTGTTTGAGTGTAAGTTTTAGCTTCTGCTAAGATTGTCGAACAAGGTTTCATTTGTAATTAGCGGAACAAGGCACAAAAAACCTTGTAAGTATCGATCAGTTTTTGTTTAGCTTTCTTATCCTTTGCGATTTGGTTGTCCTTTTGCTTTAATCAGCGGATTTATGCATTTGATTTCAGTGAATCGTTGTTCATGTAATAAAACTGGAGTTTACCGTTCAGCGCATCTCAAGCTTTCTTGTTGCCGCTTTCTAGTAGTGAACATTGGGTTCCTCTAAGGAGGCTACAAGGGGAAATTGCTTGAGGCTGTTTCTCAAGTCGACCGCAGATCAAAAGAATGACTTCTTATCAATTGAAACGTTACTAACTTCCAGGTCGGTCAAGGTTAGATCGTTTTTAGTCGAAAACCGTGAGAACACGAACTGAGCTAAAAGTGAGTCAGGAAATAACGGAATCCATTTAGAATCATTAACCCTTTAACTCCCAGAAGTGATGAACATGTCACTTCTCCCTATAATATCCATACATTATTAAGCAAACAGGTCATGAGAAAACTCAAACTTAGACAAGTAGAAGTTGTTATCTTGATCTATCACCAAATTCTTGTCACCAATTTACCAAGGCATGAGTAGAAGTAAGAGGGGAGAATTAACAATCAGATCTTGGGAGTTAAAGGATTAAGGAAGACATTGTGGACCTGGACCTTGTCACGTTTCACTGAACACAATAACAAAAGAGTCACTGTGAGTCCACGCTTTATTAGTAATGAGTTTCTCGAAACTTGAATTTTTATCAATTTACCCCCAGGGACGTTGCTTTTTAAAACATGCTATAGCTCGAAACAAGTCGATAATGAGTGGGCCAGCTTACAGTCGACCGTGTGTTGACCTCGAATTTGCTGAGCAGTTAGTAAGGAAGTTGTACAACTTTGAAAGGATAAGCGAAATTAAGGAGTTAGACAGCTTCAGCGACCGAAACTTTTACGTTCGAGGGCATAAACGCATCACAGGTCAAGAAGAAGTCGCGAGCAACTTTTACCCTAATCATCTCGAACACGGGGAATACGTCTTAAAAATTTTAAACTCTGATGACAGCAAGCATGGTGATCTTGTTGAAGCTGAAAACGCAGCAATGTATTTTTTGAGGGAAAGAGGCTTCCCTTGCCCGCTGTTGTTTCCTTTGGCTGGAGGTGTAGATACAAAATCACTTGTTCGAATTCCGGTGAGTTCGAATGCTAAATGTGCCGCGAACAAAAACACCCTTCAAACTGCCGAATACGAATGGTGTATTGCTCGTCTGATATCCTTCCTTCCAGGCCAAACGGCAAGGAGCTTAGAGAGGAAAATGAGCTTCGAAAATCTCTTCATGGTTGGCAAGTTTATCGGGAATTTGAGCAAGGCTTTTCAGGTACGCTACCACGTGTATAGGCATAAAACAGCGGTCTGCGGCAAACGGTTTAGTTCTCGGTTCGAACGATGATGTTAAATGGATGTAACTTTTGCTCCCCTTTATTTCCTGGAGACGAAAACAAGGGTAGTAATCTCACGGTATAAAAATTGATCAGAATTAATTTGCACTTAATTGACTCTGAAATTTTTGCCTGTAAACTATGAGTTATGTAAACAGTATTTACTTGTGCTATAAATAAACAGATAAATTTAGCATTCAGCTATAAAATGATTCCCACGTTTCGCGCTTACGGATGAGGCAAATTTTAAGTTGAACTAATTTTTTGTGAAAGTGTAATATTGTCGGGACACTTTAATATCATTATTGGATTCTGAAATCATCTTGATGTACAAAGGAACCATGCAACCAGAAATCGACCCATCTCAATTCAATTAATTAATTCTCATATGTAATATGTTTTTGTCCGTTTCTAGGATTTCAAAAGTCCTGTATCACTCATTAAGTCAGACAGATGGTGTATAGAAAACCTAGTTTCCCTCGAGTCTTGCGTTTCTTCCATTGAAGGCGAAGAAAATAAGAAGCTTGTCCGTGATGTCCTGGACCGATTTGCGACTAGCGTAACTCCGAGGATTTCTCTTTTACGGCTCGGCACAATTCACAATGACCTAACTGTTACGAATCTGCTTTTCGACACGAATTTTGGTGAGCTTAGAATTTCCGGACTGATCGATTTTGGTGACATCCGCTGGTCATGTTATCTGTTTGAATTGGCGACGGCTGTGGCCTCATTCACCAAGGAAGACGACGTCTTTGTGTCTAGCGGTTACTTTATAGCTGGTTACGAGGCTGTTTTTCCTCTCACTAGTCAAGAGTTTGAGCTGTTGTACGACGTCATCTGCGCTCGATTGTGTCAAGTTTTCCTTATAACATCAGAAAAAGAGAACGAATGTCCAAACAACGAATATGTAAAGAAATTAAAGATGGATTACCTGATGAAATTGAAAGCTTGGTCGTCAAACTCGAGGGATGAAGTTATGTCGGTTTGGCGGAAAATTGGAAGACACAGACACAAACTGTACCAGGCTTACACAGAATAAACCTAGGTTATTGCATGTCAATACTCCTGACTAATCATTCCTGCACATGTAGCTGACCAATAAAGCATTTCTAAGCAGTGCCTAAGAACGTACGCATGCAAGTGCGTGCAAATTAACCTGACCGCCGTTCCTATCCCGATTCTAAGGATTTATTCAGTGTCAAAAGAAAAAAACGATACCAGACAATCGAGATAGAAATGTTTAATGTATCATTTGAAATTTTCTACTAGTATGCCGACACAACTACCATGCAGCACTTTCATTTGACGAATGAAAGTAGACAAAGTATGTAACCAATCCTCTCTGTTAAGGAAGCTGTTCCTGTAAACAACTATTTCTTTCATCTACCGTAGTTTAACTATAATTCTGTCGCCTTATTCGTGGCAATTTTTAATTTATGTTGCAAATCCTTTGTTAGTTTTCTCAGACCCAACGAAGGATATAGGAAATCTAAGGAAGAAAGTCCCTTATAAAGTGTGAATGTCTCGTATTTTCGTCGGAACGAAACCTGAAGAACATAGTTGAATTTAATTCGCTGGTTAAGTGATACACTTACTGAACAACTCAAAAGGCTGGGGAAGCTGTTACAGGAGAGTCTGAGCGAGACTACAGTGATATATGTAGCTTACTGTACAAAAATCTAATGAAGAACACAGGAGAATGCAAGTGAAACAGACCAGTGATGATGAAATAATTTTGCCTTTCAACGCTTTACTTAATACCGTATTACCGACTGAAGTTTCTATTTGTAAATTATCGGTGGCGAACATCTTGATGGTTGCAAACTTCACAAAAACATTGTGACCCATAAGACATCGCTCGCTTTCTTGAATGCTGCACTTTTGCGTAGAGTGTGGGCACATCTTCATCACCATAATTATGATAAAAGTATATTTCCAATTTTTTTTTATAGTGCCATGTTGCCAATAATTTTAATTAGGGTAAGAGAAAATGATCATGTTTTCTGCCTTTAATTTCGCTGGCTGGTTACTTTAAGCTTTCGTGTTTGTTTGAAACTGTTGCCGTCTATTTGTCGACAACTAATACCTTTCACAGCAGGTGGTACAACTAAACATTGCAAATTACAACGATGTTATTTGACCGTATTACGGCGGTTATTGTTCAAGCCTTAGCAAGTGAAATTGACTATCAATTTAGAAAAGCTATTATTTGCATGGTAAATATTATTTTTCACCTGTAATAATTTATGTAACTTAACTGATCCGTACCTCGACCTAAGAAATGATATTTTATAACATCACTGTTGCTTGCGTGCAGAATCCAAGTTTCACAATTATTTTAAATTTTTATAGGTCAAACTCGATAAAAAAGACAGCAGAATTGAAGTCTTTTTCGAAATTAAGAGGCGTCGAGCTTGCGTTTCATTTAGTTAATTTGCAACCTGCTCTAAAAGTCTTCTTTAATTGGGGTCCTCGTCATCGATCCTCAGCGTTCAAAACAATAGCTGTTATTTGCTCACCGTTAACATATTGTATGAAATAATTATCTCTGTGGCGTAAATTGCTTTTGTATAGTAAATCATAGAATTTCTTCTCGTCTGGAAACTGTCCGTTCGTTTACTTTGTTAGTTATAAGCCTTCAATGTAAATTTAGTTCAAAGTTAATTCTCAAGCTTTAAATGTCAAAGTACTCATTATTAAGAGAGCTAGTCATTGGCTGTTTACTTCGAGGTACCTGAGAGGCTTATCCATATTTCATTAAATTACCTCTCTAGTAGCTTTCCTTGTCTTCTTGATATTCAAAACATCCCTGCAGCTGTATTCAAACAAGAGCGCCTGTCAAGACATTTTAAACACACAAACGTTCTTGTGTGCCATTTAAAGAAATCAGACGAATCACTTGCGGAAAAATTGGCGGAAGGCGCCCACAGAATTGTCGTGATAATTTCGGGGACAAACAAAATTCTGTGTATATATCACACAAACTTCAGATGCATCCGTAAATTGCAGTTAAGTCTGGAGCTTGCCCAGTGGGTCTTTTTCTTCATCGAAACAAAAAGGATGTTTTTGTAAAATGGACGACCGTGTTGTTATCAACGTCAGCGGAATGACATTTGAAACGAAAGAGGGGACATTGAACCGTTTTCCAGACACGCTTCTTGGAAGTCCGTCGAGAAGGCAGCAGTACTATAACCCTGTAGTACAGGAATATTTCTTTAATCGTCACCGAGTGGCATTCGAATCAATTTTATTTTATTACCAGTCTGGAGGACGACTTATTTGGCCTGACGATATTCCTGCCAGCGTTTTTACGGAAGAAGTTGAATTTTTCCAGTTAGGGGAACAAGCTTTGAAGAGTGTTGCAAGGTGTTTGTATCAAAATCGTCGTGCGCAACACGCTGAGCCACCGCAATGGACATTTCAACGCCGAGTTTGGAATTTATTCGAACATCCCGACACCTCGAATTTTGCCAGGGCTATTGCGTTATTCTCAGTACTCATGATCGCTACCTCCGTGCTTATCTCATGCCTTGAGACCTTGTGCCAATTTAAAGGATGCTGCACCGAGAATAAGGAATTGATAGACGACAGCAGTAACGCAACGTTAAACAGCGAAAAAACTGATCTGCCAAGCAAAGAACAGAAAATTTGTACCCACGAAACTCCGGAAGTGTTCATAGCCCTCGAAACGACTTGCTATTCATGGTTTTTACTTGAATATATAGTACGCTTTGCGGCGGCACCAAATCGACTGGAGTTTCTTCTATCGCCTTTGAACTTTGTGGATTTGATAGCTATTATACCTTTTTTTACTATTATGATCGGTGGGAATCGCCGACTAGTGTCTTTGGCGGTTCCCCGAATCGCTCGTCTTCTGAGAATATTTCGCATTTTAAAACTAACTCGATATTCGAACGGACTGAAAATTATGATGTATACTTTACGCGCGAGCCTTAATGAGCTAGAGATGATGATATTATTTATGTTTATGATAGTGATTCTTTCCTCGAGTGCCGTTTTTTACACAGATCTCGGAATAGATGGAAGTCATTTTTCCAGCATTCCTGACGCATTCTGGTGGAGTGTTACGACAGTGAGTACCGTTGGATACGGAGATTATTATCCCATGACAAGTTTTGGAAAAGTTGTTGGGGGCATTTGTGCTGTGTTTGGCGTTCTGGCGTTTTCTTTACCAGTCATGGCCTTCGCGAAAAATTTCAACGCTTATCTGAAAGGCGAGCCGATTCGTAGACATATCGAGAGTAAAACTAGACGCACTCCAGGGAAGCGCAAAACAAATGACTTATCTTCCTAACGGTGGAAAACACTTCCGTGTACGTACATTTTAAAAGAAAGAAAATTCTCTCTCATCGCCATGTAGATGTTTTGGAACACCAATCCGCTAACGCCAAATTTTGTCAGTGGTAAAGTCGATTGATTTACCATTAAAAAAAATTGAGGTGAGAAGTCGGTTTTAATTTTGAATTTCAAATCCGTCTATGCGTCGAAACAAAACAATGGAACGAAGATTAATTTCATCCACGCTACTGATTCACCTTAGTATATCACAGCACAAACGTGTTTACGAAAGCAGTTTCTTCCTACGAAATATTAAAATCAGTTTCTTGAATCATTTGCTTTGTGTTTTTACTATTGTTATGACCCGCTCCAAAGGGCCATGTAAAAAATTTTACTCCAAGAGGCAAGGTTGTGTTTGTAAAACAATTCGATTGTGAAGAGCTAAACACGGTTAAGTGTCAGTAAAATTGAAAAGGGACCTGCTGCTTTTAATTATAACAAAGAGGCGTTCTTTGGGTAAAATACTGAGATCTTAGCCTCAGACCATCTCAACGCCGCGACAAGATGCCGGTGATGCGTTACTGTACACCTAATTTACATTCACTCAGCTTTAAACAGCCACGTTGCAGAATAGTATTTTCACAATATATGTCAGGCAAAATGCATAGCAAGAATTGTAATATATTGAAAATTTAAACCTCGTTTAAAAGCGAAGAAAATCATAGGTAGAGACTAAATAAAGAACTAATTCAATTTGATTAAAAAGCTGGTTTCCCGATCGGAGCCTTCTAAAGTACTTTGAAAGCTGTTCGCAAAACATATGAAGTGCTTTAGAAATATATCTGCCCCCGCAGTAGAAAATATTCATATCGTGGCATCAATCTTGGAGAAGAATAATCACCTTTACAGCGGTTTAGCTAAAGGGGTGTAATTACGACATCAGAGAGAGAATTTCGGGTCTACAGTCGGCGGCTGAAGCGGAAACATTTTTACCTTAGTTTATAAAATATTTACCAGTACTACATCATAAAATTTTGGGAAATTGAATAAGGTGGAAAGCCATGTAAGGTAAGACGATGATTCGTAAAATCAATAATTAGGTGCGAATGTTTTTAAAAATTGATATTTGTACATGCTGAATTAACGAGATGCAAAGTGAAAATGGTAAATTTGATCGAAGGCCGACGATTTCAACCATCTAAAAACAATAGAAAGGCTACTTGAATTTTATAGTGTTAAACCAACAGAATATCAAAAGGACTAAAACTGTGATTGATATTAATAAAAATCCCGATAAAAATGATAACAATAATTATAATTGTTATTTTTATTATTATTGGAATATTTTCAATAAATTACAAAGCTACTGAATCGTCTCCTCGAAAATGATTGATCGCACTGAAACAAAACTGCGAACGTTCAACCCTTTATATCCTGAAAATTTGTCCTCATATCCTCCACACTGGTCAATTCACTTTTTTTATGTTGCTGAAGAGGAGAATTTGTTTGACAATCAGGAGCTCCTGAAATTGGTTATCATTTCCTTTTTTCCTTTATTTTTGAACCCCAGGGGTTCGACTGTTGAGGCTTAGCACTTTTGACAGTTTTTATTTGTAAATTGCAGATTGTATTGAATGTGGTTTTATAAAATTTCCTTGGGACATCGGAATAATTCACCATCGCTCTTTGCTTATTCAGAATAATCTAGAATTCTTTAAGTCCTCCAACGCTTAGCGGAATATGTGGGCGTTTTATGAGCAACAGAGTGTGCAAAGATATTGTTAGCGGGCGTATGCAATTCTACTCTTTTCGCATTGGAAACTGGAAAACTGCTTTTAGGTAGGAATCGTGATTTTTTCAGGACGCCGTAAACGCAAAAACTTTTCCTATATCGCCGATGGATCCTGCTTTTTTTTTTTAAACACGCCAATTTGACACAGCTTTGCGTGAGTCCACCAATACAAAAAATTTTAACTTGTAATCGCGGTTTTCGTGGAATCTGCAGATCTTTTAACAATAAAACATCACTCGGAAAACATAGCAACGGCACCCAAACAATTACATAAAGTAGCAATAGAAGAGTGTACCGCTGTCCGTATTTTTCTAGAGAGCGTGTGGACTCGTTAGGGCAGCGCTTTCTGATATTTAAGAAACTAGGGATGACCGTTCAATATTTGGGTCCGGCGGCGCTTTTTCAAGGTAAGACATAAAAGGAACCCGGGTGGCACGATAAGTTCTTTGTTTCAGTAGTTTGTTACCGAACAAAGTTATCTCAATTCATAAACAATAGGACAAGAGAGCCTTTCAATTATATGTTGTAAAACCATAGCCAAAGTGATCACTACAGCCAATACGAGCATAGTCCAGGAAAACGAGAGAGACCATCACGTGATTGATTATAGTATTTTCATTTGATTGGTTGAGAGGGTGGTTTGACTTTTCTGGACCAATCGAAGAGCAAAGTGAAGTAAAAACTAAAGAAATCCTGATTTACTTTAGACACTAGACTAAAAATTGCTCTAGTTTCTATAGAAGCTACTGTGTAACTCTGTAAGCAAGTCAAGAAACTCAGTTGATTGTTAAAATGAGGTTGTTCCCATTCACATATTTTAGCCAGCACTTGCAAAGTTATCCCATCTTCATCAGGTAGTTAAAATGCAAATGTTAACCATCCAGCCATAAGGAAGTATGCACCATACGGAGCTAACTTTCCATATGATCTGTCCTTTTTTAGTCCAACTAAATAACAACTAAAAACAAAGAAATGTTAAAATATTTTTTAGTACAAAATAAATCAAAGTACAATTACAAAAAAAGTATATTATGAGGTACAGTTATATAATTAAAAAGTTTCTTTAGTAATGTGCCAGTCCCAACTTCTTCAAAAAGGCACAATTATTACAATTAGACTGCAAAACATTTCTTGTGAAAATGATTTTTCGTTTAGATGATAACAAAAATTCATATCATAGACCTAGCAATTGGTCTTTTTCTAAGAAGAGTGAAACAAGATGAACAGGACAGAACAGGGCAGACCAGGAATTATAACAACTTCTATGTCAACACCTCACACTCTTATTGGATAAAGCCAACCACCACCATGGCAAAAGAGGCAAGGAGGGCCTGGAACCAGACTCAACAATGGTCATCTGCTGTGCAGCTCTAGCAATTGATGCACTAGGCTTGATGTGGAGCTTTTGCTCAAACAGGATTAAGTACATTTAAGTAAGTAAAAAAGTAAGAAAGCAATGTTTGAAAAAAATCCATCTTTGTTATGAGGAAAACACGATATCTGGGGTTGAAATTGTTACAATTTAAGTTTAAAGAGCTTTAAAAAAAATTGACATAGTAAGCTAACTTGCAATGATGATGTACATTTACCTGCCAGAAAATAGAAGAATTCCAGTACAAATTAAACTGCCAGCCTGATTCAGAAAAAAAAAAAGCCACTTACTACATTTAGTATTTGATTACAAACATAGATTCTCAAATTAAAGTCCCAGGCAATTATTTCAAGTCTAGCTTACTGTTGGAGGGGAGGGGGGGATGGAGTGTTTCTCTGAATTCCCACAATGTGTGGTAGGTTACTTCCTTCTACAACTTCAATTCATTATCCACAAAAATGATGAGAAGGTTTTTTTGTGGTTCAAGGCTAAAAAAGATTAATATTTCAGCATCATACCTAATTTGTAGTCAAGCAATTGAAACAGCTTTATCTTACCAGATTGGGTCTTTTAGCAAAGGGAACAGCTAATAACACCAAATTATGAAGATGGTGATACAGGTTACCAGTCATGAAGGACTGAAAAAAAAAGAGATGGATACAGGTTACCAGTCATGAAGGACTGAAAAAAAGAGATGGATACATGTTACCAATCATAAAGGACTGAAAAAGAAAAGATGTCATAAGCCTTCAAGATGTCTCCATCCAGGGAGATGTTTGCAATTCTTGGAAAATAATACCTGAGCATTTTGCCATTTCAAGTGCACATGAATTGGGGTATCCTTTTAAGTAAGCAGCTAATTACAATTTTTTTAAACACTGATTTTTGTTCCCAACATTGCACCTAAATTTAAGATCAGGGATATGTCTTAACTTAAGAAAAAAAACAAAAGCAGATTCCCAGTATTGTTTATTTGAATTTACCTCTTTGTATTTTTTGGCGTCTTCTTCATTAAGGAACGAGGCTGTAATAAGATTGTAAATCAGAAAGTTTCATGGTTGTACGTCCTATATTGATCGATTCACATGTCGTTTAAGTGATTCGACCACTGTTTCATAAAATTGTACTCAACACAAGACATTAACACAGTTTGCTAGTGGAGTACGTAAAATGAAAATGAGTATAATTACCATGAGATCCGTATGCACCTAATGCAATAGCCAATACTCCAGATACACCAGCTATTTTGTGGAAAACAGTTGGAGAAAAATGGAGCATACTCGACAACATTTTGGAACAAAATCTACAAGGAAACGACGGCGCAGGTAAGTCAGCGGTAATACACACAAAGAAACGCGCAAACTAAATTATTTGGCGGGAAATCAAGATGGCGGACGAAGAGGAGCTCTACCTTGCAAACCTTGATGAATTTGTAAACGATGAGAATAGAATTGTAAGCTTTTTGCATAGCACTTTTTTAAATGTACCTGCTTAATTATTTTCTTAAAAATATTTTTTTGATATAGTGTTGTGTTTCTTGCTTGTTTTATTTCAGGTAACTTACAAATGGTTGAGTCGAACGTTGTCAGTATCCACAAACAGAGCGAAACAGTAAGCTAGATTTAAATATATACTCTTAAACAGTGATTATGTTATGTTATTTCTTCTGCCTTTGCTTTGTCTATGCTTCAAAGGATTGAGTTTTATCTGCAAAATGTCACGGCACGTTACGGACGAATCAACTGAAACGAATGTCAATTGCAATGCAAGCTTGTATGTTTTTAGCAATCTTCAAAGCGACGTTTAAAATCACTGTTTTTTTATTTATACGAATTACAGTCGGTTACTCCTTTTTGTTTAAGCTTATTTGCATTCTTTGTGGAAAGGATGTGAGCCTGTGTTTGTTTGTAAGAGACCATTCACTCTAATTTTCCGTAGACGAAGAAAAATAAAGAATATACGAAAATAAAAATATGTACTGAACGATTCCTTGTTTATGAATTTTCCTGATAGGACGACATAATGTGAGTCGGATAATTTAGTGAATACAATATTTGGTAAAATTTCCGCACAGCCCCATACCATTGTAAAACAAATCTGTTTTTCCAATGGCAATTTATTGTTTTTGTCATTGTTTTCTCTATCCAAGAACTGAATGCATAATGTAGGATGGAGCTGTGCAGACATTTTACCCAATGTTTCCTTGAGATGACTGAAGCATTGTTTTGGTTTGTTTTGTTTTTGTTTTTTCATATTGTTTTTTTATTTGTTATTTTTTTGACAGGATGCTGTATGCCTTTGTTCAGAAACAAAAGAGGTCTAATTCTGGATCTGATATTAATGTAACTTACTTGATTGGAGGAAGATGTTCAGTGGATGGAGATATGGTGAGATTTTCATTTCACATATTCCTCTAGAATTCCCAAAACCTAAAGATGTTTGTTATGATGTTATCTCAGGGAATTGTGATAAAAGGGCTATGTGGAAATATGAGATCTACACACTAATTTAACATTATAATCTAAAAATTCAAGCCTCTATTTTCCTATGGTAATGTATAATTTCCATCTTGTGGCTTTCCTGTAACCTTTCTTTTTCTCATCCCCTTTTTGTCCAAGATTAATCATTTTATTTATTATATTGAACTCAAGTTTGCATCAGTAGAAACTAAACTCAATACAAACTGGAGGCTCATACCATGAATTGAAAATGCTCATTTTGTTTCAGGTACATAGATTTGTTATTACTCAGGATGAAAAGCTAGAAGGTACTAAGTAGACATACCTTCAGTATGAATTACTTAGTTGATTTCTATTTAAGGGTGTTAAACAATCTGTAAATCACTTATGGGAAATGTCCGTTTTTTTTAACATGGTGGCAAACTTAAGTTAGGCTCAATCCCTGGGTGTGATTTGGTTTAAGTTTGCTGCCTATTCTCATGTAGAGTTTGGGATTGGTTCTTCTTTTTGTCCCAAGGGTTTTGATCTTGATTATGTGATCTTCTTCCCTCCACAAAACCTAACTCTCCAATTTCCAATTCACTCCATTAGTGGTGGTTGAAGAACCAATTTGTGAAATACCATGATGAACGTCAATTTATTTTATTCATTTATTTAGTTAGTGATTGTGATATTTAAGGAATTGTTATATAGTAACCAATGTTGGTATTTTTTTTACTTATTTTTAGAAACTAAAAAGAACTTCTCTTTTTTGACTTCTTTACACATCTACAGCGTACAGAAATGTAAATTAAAGGTGACGTTATTTATTCACTCTCATGGTCATTTATTTAGTGTGACAGCAATTAATGTCTTGTCTAAGGAATCTTAAAGTGTCAGTAATGAAGAAGTAAACTTTCATATTCTATTTCTAGGATGCAAATGCATTATACACTGTTGACTATGATGTACAGCAGCAGTGTGGCAATGAAACTAATAGGTATGTTTTGCTCTCTAATTTTCCACTCGAGTGTGAATTTTCTTGACAGTATTGATAGTTTTACTCGTCTGATAGATAAGTAATGTTGACTTGGAGAGTTTGGTACTTTTGTCATCCCTTGAACTCTCAAGATCTAATTGTTAATTCTCCCCTCTAGCTGCTACACATTTCCTTGTAAATAAGTTACAGGAATTTGGTGTTAAATCAAGATAACAACTTTTATCTGATGAGGTTGAGTATTCTCATTACCTTTTCACTGATAAGTGTACAGATATCATAGGGAGAAGTTACATGTTAATCACTTTTAGGGTTAAAGGGTTAGTCTAACTGTTAGTAGCTTTCATATTGGTCAATACCACAAAGAAATACAAAGTAGCAGAAAAGTATTGTGAAATAATGACCAGTTTGTCTTTCACATGTAGGTGGAGCCATATCTACTGTTCAGCTGCAGTACCCCTAGCAGATAAAGGTGTTAACAGGGGTACCCACCACGTGAATGGGGCAACAGATGGTCATGGTACCAAAATGACTAATGGAACTGGTGAAGTACACTCATCTTCAAGGGGTAAATGTACTGTACTGTTGTAATTATGAAGTTCACTGTTGATGAGCACAATTAGTGCCAAACTGTATTTCATATCTTATGCCTCTGATTTAAAAAAGTTGTGTTAGTTGTACATCACTAGTGGTTATTAAAATTTGAAAAATCCTTTTGTTCTCTAGGAGCTTCTAATTCAGCATTTGACCAAAAAACTAAGGTTTGTATCTGTTACCTTGGTGAAAATACATGCTGTTAGATGATATGTAGTTAAAAATTAGTTCCATTTCAGTATCAATGCAGAGTGATTTGATCTGACCTTCCTTTTTTGACAGACAGACATTCAAAACCACAACATATATAACTTCTTTGTCAGTTTGTCTTCCCATTCATCAAAAATTTTCTGCTATTCATATGTCCATCTAACCATCCATTCATCTATCTAATAATTTTTTCTCTCATTTGTTAGTTTTGGAAATAACTTTATCATTTCAATGTCCCTGTAAGAATCTAAATTTGTTCATGTGTGTAAAACTGTTCAAAAAATAGACAGCAACTTCAAAGCCAAAGAAAGGACAGATGCCAACCATGGAGATGTTCTCAGCAAAGTCTACCACTAAAAATGACAAGCATATTGGTGAAAATCCACCTGCTGAAAAAAATAGAAGAGATTATCAGGTGTGTGTTACAGTAATGATAACTGTTTCATAGGAGTTTTCATAAATCCTCCAACTCCCAACATCTAAATATCATTATATATGAAAATCATTTTGATTGACTCTCCCTTATCCTCTATTGTAGGAGAGATGCATAGATGACATTATCATGTGCACTGTTTTGCTCTTTTATCATACAAAACAAATAGATTTAATGTTGCCATGGGCCTTTACAGTAAGATATCACAGAACATGGTTAAATTGGGCAAGTACATCAGTTACACACTTAGTTGCAAGTCATGTGGGGCTTCTTTGTTTTTACCAAGTTTTGACATCATCTGTGATCTATTACTGAAGAGATTTACAGCAACACGAAATCTATCGGTTAAATTTTTTGCAGTGTTTGCCGTACAGGTTAAAGCAGGAGGCAATGAGAGGGTAGCAACAGGGGTTCTGATCCCATCTCGCACAAATTTTAGAAAACTTCATGCATCTTGATGTAAAGGGAAAACTAAGAACCTCACCTTATCTCGCCTTTCTGTAAAATTCACACATCACATATTGATTTTGGGCATAATCACATGTCATGCATTTATCCTTTGCCACCCTCTGATAAGAGGAAAATAAAAATTTCAAATGCCAAAAGTATTAATGCAAATTCTCTGAATTGAAATTAAAAGAAATGCATGGCACACAGTGAAAATGATTCCTGTTAGATCTTGGGAGTGAAAGTCTGAATAAGAAAATAGCTCAAGCACGTAAGCCCATTAAAATAATGTAGAAGAACTTTGGACAATAACAGTAGAGATCGGTAATAAACACTCTGACTGACTACCATGATCACTGAAGTCTCAGATATTATAGAATGTAATTGACTTGTGGATTTAGTTATAGTTTATTTAAGGCATCAACTGATACTTCAAATCAATATCTGGCTCTGATTGTGTTATTCTTCATTCCAAGAATGATCAAACAAAGCCCAACAGTAGCAACAAAAGTGGTAGCATGATGTCATTTTTTGGAAAATCCATATCAGGTTTGTAAGTTAATTTATTAGCTACCACCAGGGTCCTTTCTTGAGAGAGGAATGGAGAGGACCTTGGGAACGAGGTTGAAGATAGCGCTAGTACTTTGATTATTGAGTGTCAACCTCAGATTACATAGCTTTAAATGAGAGATGTAACTTTTTTTCTACACTCAGCAAAAAAAGCTTCAGAAAAGCCAAGCAGTACAGGAAATGAGAAAGAAGTTAATCTACACAAAGGCAAAAAAGCTTCAGACACTGCAGGAGATGAGACAGAACTTAAACCAGCAAAATCTCAAACAGCCCCAAAGAAACAAGATCAAGCTGTGGAAAATCAAAACTCAAAGGAAAGGTATTTACTTGTTTGCAGACTGGATTACTTAGCATGTCATATTCAGTTCAGATGGACTTCAGAGGTACATCAGCTTGTCTGATAAAAATATTAATTTATGTAAATGGTTTTTCTTTCTTCCAGGGAATTGTCCCCTGAGGATGAGGAGGTAAAAATATTTATTTATTTATTTATTTATTTATTTAAATTGAAAGGTTATGGATGAGTTGTAGATGTTTTCTCAGTTTTTCTTTTCATGGAGCAAATTAAGTCATCGTTCCTACTCCCTAGATGGATTTCTAGCTGATGTGTATGAAAATGTTTTAGAGTGTATCAAGAGATCCTTCAAGAAATGATGTCTCAACAAGAAAAAGGACAATTTTCGCATACGTACATTTGATAGGCTTCATGTTACAAAATGTATATGGGCCATTGATGATATATTCTTATAGGAAGGGGAACAAAGCACTATGGTTCCCTACCCCCCCCCCCCCCATTATAATATAGACATAAACATTTTTAACATTTCGACCCCTAAAAGTGACTTGCATCCAATTTTTTCCTCATAGTATCACCTTTACATCACTTTAAGGTCACAAAAAAGGACATGATCACCAACTAAAGACGCTCTTGATAGTTAAACAAATTGTCCTTGTCAGCACCTTAAGAAATGTATCAAAGTCATATGGGGAATACGAATGCTGATGTTAGGGTGTTGGTATTAAGGTAGTTTATCTGTTGTCAGTCTGGCTCGGCAGGTGCAATATCGTTTTGGAAACATCTGGTTTTAGCGTATGTTTGAAATGCATGTGCTTCAGCCAAAGAAAACCAGAATTAATATTGATTTCAAAGTTTGGTGAAAAATTTATTGTAAATTTATTATTCTGCGATTTGTTTGCAGGAACCTTTGCCTCCCAAAATTTCCAAAGTTGTGAATTCAAGTGCTGCAGGTATGATACACTAATTATAATTTTGAAAGATGTTTTTCGTCTTATCACGAGCGTGGGACAAAGAAAAAATTCTGAGTCACCCTTTACCGAGCTCAAAACTTACCATCTCTGTGGCTCAGTGGTAGGGCATCGGAGCGCGGAATCCGAAGGTCTGAGGTTTGATTCCCCATGGGGACTCAGAATTTTTTCTTTGTCCCACGCTCGCAGCAAAACGAAAAACATCTTTCATTATTTCTTAACCGAGCTCAAAACTTACCATCTCTCTTATTTCTAATTATAATTTTCTCAAATCGTACTAGAATGAGTCAAAAAACCAAGTTTTCGTATCAAGACCCAAACCGTCCAGAGAAAGACAATTTCACGGGCTTTGTCAATACCGGAAAATTGAAATTCTTCTTACATTTTGCCGAAATAGGAAAAAACAGACTTCGTGCTCACAGGAACATCGCTGATCATAGAGCAAGCTGAGATTTTATTGTTTTGTATTTAAAAGTTGATTGGCTGGATTTGAGAATGGTGGAATCTTTGGTTTAATCGGACTGGTTTTCGTTGTAAATGCATCGTTGGTTCTTCTCTTTCTCTCTTCTTTCCTTACCTTTCCTTGTTCGCCTTTCTTTTCGTGTTCTTTCTTCGTTCGTTTATTCGATCTGTGTTGTCGTTTTTGTTTCGGTTTTTTTCTGTTGTTTTTCATTTCTTTAATTCCTTTTTCTTTTCTTTTCAATTGTTCTCTCTTTTGTTTTCCTATGTTTTTTAGGTAGCAAGGATTCAAAGAATGACAAGCAAAAGGTTAGGCTGCATTCATGATACTCGGTCGATGCAATTTTTTATTTTCTTTGGGCTGTTATTCAGGTTTTTTGTTGCCATCCGAAATAGCAGGGTACAAAACTGGGCCAGAGGAGCCTCTGATGTAAAAAAAGGGTCAATGTACACCCAGGCGCAGCGTAAGGGAAATATTTATCACCAAAATTTCAATAATAATAGAATAATTGATCTTCCCGGGGTCCCAGTCCCGTGAAGAAAAACCCACTGTCATTCTAAGTGTGGATGCCATGTAATGATGTCTTCTTCATCATCTATTTACAGCAGAAAGAAGGAAAGCAGGTTGATATTTCCAAGAGGTAACTGGAACTTCACGTGGACATAGTTCACAGTGCTTTTACCTATAAAGTTGTGTGACCTTTTTTGTTAAAAACTGCTAGGCCGTCCGTGTGCTAAACCGTCCGCTCAGAGCCAACGGAAGAGAGCAGTTGTTCAACGATAGGTCTAAAGCAAGCTTGAAAGGGTGGAAGGAAACTGAGGGGGAATAAAAGACATACTTATCACGCTTTGGTTTTGCTTTTCTTGCCTTTTCTTTTCCGTTTCCTTTTTGTTACTGTTGTTTGTCCTTTTTTTTTTTCTTTTCCCGCACACACTGGTGCTTGAAGTTCAAGGGATTTTACTATTAGAAGTTGCTTTATAGCCAACGTTTTCCAATCTTACTCTGTTGCGAATATGGTCGATGTTTTGTGGTGTTTTAAAAAGACCTTTTTTTTTATAGCAAAGCGGGGAAAAAGAAAGCTGTGACAAATGAAGAGTCAGGTAGGTACTAAATTCAGCTATGTCATGTGATCATGTCAGTTTGTCCGTTTTGTCAAACCGTTGGGATCCAAGTCAAAGGGCTTGTGACGGACGGTGTATTTAGCGTCACCATCCCGTCAGGTTTGTTTTTCTTTATTTATCGGTCAGTTTATTTGCTCGTTTTTGTTCGATTTTCATTTTGTTCGTTTGTTCTCTTTCTTTTTTACTTGCATTCTGGTTGGGCGTACCGCTACGAATTTTGCTTCGTTTTTTTTTTGGTTTTTTTTTTTCACATTATTCACGGTTTGGGGTTTTAATCATTATTTCGAATAGATTTATCACACTTTCTTTCACTTGCACTTCAGACGAAGAACGAGAAGCTAAGCCAAAAAAACGACGAAAACGAACTAAAGAGCTTCCGAAAGAAGACAGCAGCGATGATGGTAATAATGATGTAAACACTTTTAACATGGAACACCGCCTTTTCCTCGTTATGTGCTTGAGCAGCTCATGTGAGGTCGCCGTCATTCAAAAGAAATTTAAGAAAACTGCACGTCGTGTCTGTTCAGATGATAAGCGTACGACCTAAATTTCAAATGAGAAAAAAATTCCTTTCTCCTGAGTGAGAAATTATTCTAGGGAACACTAATATTTGAGGAATTGATCGTCGGAAAAAATAAATTTGTTGCTCAGAACGTCTTCTGGTTTGCCGAATCGTTGTTTGTTTGAGGCGCTTGTTCTAATACGAACTGGCAATAGAATCGCATGCAAAACTTATCGTTCCGACTGAAAGTAACGACTTTTTTTTTTACAGTATTTTCTTTCTGCGAGAAGTTTTTTTGTGGATGGACGACAATCCGCAAAATTTCCATGGCATACTGTTATTTGATCTTCAATGTTGAATTTTCTATTTCTCGAAAGAGCAAGACATGCCGAACAGGGACGTGATCAAGAAGCTCCCCCCTGACCAGAGTTCTTCAGCCAGTGTCAGTCCTCCGCCACAACAGCTGCCTCAACAAACAGAGAGTGGAACAGCAAGGCGACGGAAGAGAACAAGGGCACTTAAAGATAAAACATACATGAATGATGAAGGATTTATGGGTACGTGAGCAAGAATATTCCATGTTTTGATGACTGAACGTTCCCGATTAATTACAATAACAACTTCAGTGTCCGTTCTTCCGTCTGTCTGTTTTTTCGTCTACCTTTGTGTCCTTCTGCCTGTCTATTAGTTGGTCTGCTTTTCTGTCTTACTGACTGCCTTCGTCTGGCTGTCTAATTGTTTGTATCTCTGTACGTCTTTCAGTCTGCATTCCTGTCCGCTCCTCTGCTTCGTATGCATGTTTTCCTTCCGTCTGCCTGACCATTTGTCCGTTTCTCCGTCTGTCGGTCCGTCTCCACGTCTGTCTGCAAGTCCGTGTATACATTAGTCTTTCTGTCTGTCTGTTCAATTTTCTGTGTGCCCGTCTGTCATTCTTTCTGTCAGGATAATTTGGTTTTATCAAATGTGTTTATAATTAAATTGTCCACCGTA